TAGAGTGATTAAACTTATAAGAAAACAATTTATTAGCAATTTACATAATGATATTGGGTTTCCTATGTTAGTTAAGTTCATAGAAAAAATACGGTAAAAATTTACAAGGGGAAAAAAAAAAAAAAAAAAGGGGATACTGCCCGAAATCAATAGGATACAGTTATTTTAAAGCACAAATACTTGTAGTATTCACTTCATTTACTTGTATATAGTTGTACTTCGTATTAATTAGCACATGATGTGTTATGTGTCTCCAACCCTTCATATAAGGTGGGACACTGAGAAACATCATGTTGTAATAACTCTGTTTAAGTCTATGAAACTTGAATATTATTGAAGTATTTTTTTTTTTTGGGGGGAAAACGTTATATATAGCCCTTAGGAAGTTAGAAATGGAAAAAACATATGAAAATATAATATTATTTACACTGATTTGCGCGTAATTTTGTCATAAATTTCTAAATTAATACGGAGTACCAAATATGGAAAGTTATTAAATGCTTATCCATAGCCGTAAGGGCTAAATATAGCAATTAATCCCAAAATCTTGTGATTGTGACAAATACTTGGTAATTCACTAATTCTTACCATAATGTATTACAATGCTTCATTCTTGCACTGTAGTAGCTAACAAGAGGCTATTTTTGCCAACAAGGCACAAGGAGGGTCCGTAAAAGATATTGTTTAAGCAAACATATAATTCTACTCAATAATTTGAATGTAAAACAATATATACCGTAATACAAAAATTGGGTGTTAAAAACTTAAAATGTAGTTGTCGATCCATGTATTTCCTTGCGCGTACAGCATGGTCAACTAGGAGATAAGCTGTAGAAGACCTTTTTAAAAAAGAAAACCTTACTACAAACTCCATGTTCATTGTTCCCCGTCTTTTACAAACTTTTTTTACTCTTGGATAAAGTTTCGGTGCTCATCTATCGACATATTTCGGTGTCGGCATTGTCCCTTAAATCTGTAATTGTTGCAGGAAGTAAATTAGGCCCTGTTTATTCCGCTAAACTGAAATTAATTTTATTGAATTTAAATTATTTTTGCTAAACTTTAAATTATTTTTATTAAACTGAAATTAATTTTGTTGAACTGAAATAATTTTTTACCGATTCTCTATTATATTTCTTCTTTAAAGTTACTGATTTTTACTAAACTGAAATTATTTTTACTGAATTGAAATTAATTTACTGAACTGAACCTATTATTGCTGGACTGAACTTTTTTTACTAAATTGAAATTATTTTTACTAAATATTTTTTTTAAAGGTGAACTGAACAGGGTCTTACTCATAAGAACTTTAACTTCAACTTATTTTAAAAAATCTTATTACGTTTTTATCTTTTTAACTTCTACAGAATATTCGTATAGAAGTATATAACATATATAAGGTCATAAATTTAAACTTTTGACTACTTATTATTAAATATTTTAAGTGCACTAACAAAAAAAATATGAAAATTATTTGGCAAGGAGTACGTAAAGGACCATAAAATCTCATTTTATGATGTTTTTACCTAGTGTCAATCTCTTGCTGCTAAATAAGAGATGATATAAGTTGTTAGTCTAATCAATGAAAATCAAATAAGATTAATTAGGCTAGACCATAGCATAGATTATATTACACTCACACGCTATGAAGCTAGTCTAGTTGATAAAGTAATCAGTAATTTTTCTATATTATGGGTGACTAATTTTAATTAAGGAATATCGTCTTGAAGCTCAAAATATCATTTTTCATAGTGTACAAAAATCCACAAATATTGTAGATTGAACAAGATTTGGATAATGAGTATTGGATACTAATGTAACCCTTCATCTCTAAAAGATTGACATGTATTCTAAAAAGAGCGTCTTTAAAAGATTGTCCCATACCTTTTTCAGTTATTGGCAAATCTTCTCACGTACAATCCAATAACCACGTACTTGCTCTCTTTATCTATTTTCTCATTAATACTTGCGCTCACCTATGTATGCAAATTTACTTTAATTTTTTTCTTACATTTGGGGCAATGTTGTAGGGATAGATGGTGGGAATATCACTTTAGATAATTTATTTTACCACAAATAGAGATTAGTGATAGTGAAATTCAAACCAACTTCACATTTTAAAATTTTCACTTTATTTAATGGTCTGTGAGTAAAACCATCAATTCGAGTCAACGGGTCAGTTTAGGCCGTTTGGGTCAAGTTTTTAGGATCATTACAAAATAAATGGGTCAAATTGGGTCGAGTTCAAATCATTTTAAATTGCGTCGGGTTTTCTCTCAGTAACTCGGGTTTGGAATCAGGTTGGGTTGAGCCAAGTTATTAAGTCGGGTTAGGAATTAACAGTTCTATGTGAGTAATGAATTGTCTATTCATTAGAAAGGATAAATATAGTAATGTCCAAAATACTTCCGAGTTTAATAAAATACTCGTATTAGTAACCGAATCCAATAAAATACTCGTAATGGGGAATGTAACAGCCCGGCAGTTGCGCAAATCAACAAAATAAATCTCGAGTTTCATGTATTGTCAACCAAAAACAGGCTTTAAATAATAAAGTTAAGTGAAAAATAATTTAAGCATGGCATTGCATGTTTTCATAATAGTAGAAGTAAGCACGCAACACTAAGGAAACAACTCGAAACCATAATGATCAGTTAGACAATAAGAGTACTTTACGTGCATGCAAAGATTTTTTTTAATCTTTCTTCTTTTTTTTCCTTTTCCACTTTGTGTTATCTTTAAACCTCGATTATTGTTAGGTGACAACTCATGAAGTTGGTCGCCAACTTCAAGAACTTGACTAGACCAAGCCCCAACTTTGGAGGCATCTGTCTTAAACGAATTGCCGTTACAAGGAAACATGTAAATTACACTATTACAAACACAATATTATTGAGGTGTTGTTTGGTTCACATGAGAATTAGAACTTCTCATAGATCACAAATTTATGGGAATTAAATTCCTATTATCAAATTCATGGGAATTTTCTAAAATTGTTTAGTTATTAACGAGAGAAATAACTTCCTATGGGAATTTCTACTTACCTATGGGGGGCTAGGTAAGTAAGTTCCTACATTTTGTGAGAACTCAAAATTCCTAGGAAATTCTACTTTCCCTATTTTACTAAATATTTGTCAACCAAACAACACATAAAACTTGCAAAACGTAGGAAGTTTCACTTCCCATGTTTTTTTATGTCAAACATACAAGCTCGAGTTTTCGGTTAGATTATACTGTAAAGCCCTATTCTTTTGAGCTTCTCTACTCTGTTTTGCTAGGTCCAACTCTACTCTACTGAAATCTACTCTGCTTAATATTAATGATTAATATATATTAACTAATAGATAAATAGTAATTAATAAAATTAATAATATTGATAATTAATAAATAATAAATTAAAATTAATAAATAATTAGTAACGTTAATAATTAATTTTAATTATTAAAACAATATTTAAAAGCGAAAAATAAAATACAATAATAATTACTTTGCTTTGCTCTGCAGAAATCTGCTTTACTCTGCTGACACGTACTCTGCTCTACTCAGAAGCTCAAAAGAACATGGCCTAACTTTCTGATCTCTTTCTCTCTCCCCCCCCCTTTTTTTTTTTAACTGCCTCCGTTAATTTATATGTGCAAATTTTGGGTATTATTTATGAGATATAATAATCCAAAACTGCACATAATAATTAACGAAGGTAAATTTTTATTTTTATTTTTTCACTTATGCACAATTCATTTTTTCTTGTACTCTCAACATGTATATTAATAACACTTTGGTCGTGTATGGTGAAAAAAAAGACATTGACATATTTTCATTGTGGTAGCCTAGTAGGATATTAGGTTATTAAATGAAAAATAATCGTCATTTCACCTTAATATACTTGAAAAAACTCCAGCAAGCAACTTATTTAAAATGAGCTTATTTGGTGAAATAATCTCACTAGTCACCACCAAACACCCTCTTTAACTTTTGTAATACGATTAATTGTTGGTAATTTTCTATATTTTTAGGAAACTAATATATATACCTTCATGCGTAGCAATTAGTCAAATATCTAATCAATAAGTCTTGTGTAAGGCGGGTGTACATTAATTTTATTGTAAAACGGTCCGTTTTGAGGGTAACTTTAACTATTTTTATGGTAACTTTAACCCCTTAAAGGATAACTTTTAATTTGTCGTTGGTTTGAATTTTATTTTATGTATAATTTCTTATAGATTCATGATTATATATAATAAAGGCTAATAGGACTAATATAATACATTATAAGTTTTTGTAAGATAAAATTTATTATTAAAAAAATAATAACTTTTATAGTATATATAAAGGACAACTTTAACTACTTTTAAGATAATTTTAACCCGTTTTACAATAAATTAATATACATCCTCCTTTTTAGAGAATTTGTGTTATCTAATTTATTGAACACTCATAATTTAACTATATCTATCTACATATCAAAGTTAACAAATTTGTTGACAGACATCTAAAAAGTTCTAATACAATTTACAATTACAACCCCAACTAAAGACTATCTTCACACTACATTTCGCAAAACAAAGCTTAAAAGAGTACTTTAACACAAGCTATAAAGTGATATGGTGATATGGGAAAGGACTTAAAAAATGGGCATGCAGCTCCCCATAACTAATTTCAGCCACAGTGCCACACCCAATACCAAGTTGACACACTTGTTGATTAAATTAACCCAACCAGCCTTAGCTTGAGGCTTATTTTTTTACCACCCTCTTTCAAGAAAATTCATTGATCACGATCCGTAAGCTTTACTTATGTCAAGGTTAACCGCTATACACCCGTTTCTTCCACATCCACATCAGATGGAAAGTCTCTTATAATGTGTTAGCGCTAATACGTCTTTTAATAATAAAGATACTTTAATTAAGTGAGATAATACGATGGAGAATTTATTCATTCTATTGACAAGTGTGACCATCTACAAATAAACTCACTAGTTATGCTAATTTTGTAACTTTTGTTCGTCAAAAAATGGGACGTCACCACATTAGTTGGACAAAGATATTATTGATTGAATATCATCTGGCCTTATCGACACCCTCATACCACCAAAATTATTCGTCCAGCATGGCACTATCTGATGTATCCCCTCAAAAAAAAAAAAAAAAAAATCTGTATCTGATTACACCAAAACATCGTCGTTTCCTCGTACATTCCAAATTAATAAAAAAAAAAAAAGAACAATTAAGATTGGATTTTACTTTGCAATTCTCAGAATTATAATCAGATCTATCATACGTGCAGGGAAGCTCAAGAACAGATCGCATTAATTTCACATTTATTCATCCTTAATTTTCACTCTATACAATATTTGGTGCATTTGAATTTCTGGTAAGTCATAATATCTTTTAATTTTGTTAATTTAGGTAACATTTTTTGCTCATTTCATGATTTTTACTCGAATTTATTGCTTAATTTGTAGTGAATTTCTGTATTTATATGTGAATTTTATTGAGTTAGGGTTTTTTCATCTTTATATTGTTTGTTGTACTAATGTTATGTTGTTTTTCTGGTGATTTTATTTTGCTAAAGTTAGTGTATTATAAAATAACAATTATGATGAAATTTATATATGCAGAGAATTCAGTAGAAAATGGTGAAGGAAACTGGGTATTATGATTTACTAGGAGTTGGGATTGAGGCTACGCCAACAGAGATTAAGAAGGCTTACTATGTTCAGGCAAGCGTTTTACATTGCCAATTTCAACTTATTTTCTTTAATTTATGAGTTTACGTGTGCTGGTGTTTGTTGATTGTTTTGTTTTCATTTGATTCAACTAGTAAATGATGTTTGTGAGCTATGATGTTTTAGAATTCAATTTTGAATCCGGGTTTTTTGTGAATTATGGTGTAGTTTGAAGTTGTCCCAACTCTATAGCGTCTTCTTATTGTATAGAGGATTTGAGAGTTAACATGGATTTTCGAGGTTTGGAGTATGTGTATGATTTAGACCGTGCGCGGCAAGAAAACATTGATTACGCTGATGAAAATGATCTTCGTGATCTTGTCCTTAAATTTTGGGGTGCGCGGCAAGAAAGCATTAACTAAACATTGATTACGCTGATGAAAATGATTTAGTGATCTTGTCCTTAATTTTTACACTACAATGCTGGTTTAGGAGATATATTTGATACTTATAGTTAATATTTAGGGCAGCGTATATCAAAGATGGATATGGAGTGAATTTAAGGAGTTACCATTATGCAGTGGTTGAGGACTAAGATTCAAGTGGATATGAGGTGGGTCTATGAGAAATGGGGTGCCTTTGTCAGTCTTATTATACGAAGAATTTACTTATGTTATCTCATAATTTGCGTTGGATTAGAATGAGTTGATGGAGTTAACATAGTAAGGTAGGTCAGGAGGTGTGGGAATCAATTAGAGGTAAAGCCTGGGGGTAGAGGAGATTGTGACTTCATTCTGCAGCCTTTGGGAATATTGCATTTGGAGATCAATGCTTATTTGGCTGATGTTAAGATTACTCACTTGGCCATGATTTAATTTTAAATTATGCATCATCTTCCATATCAACATCCCTTATTATAGGGGAGTGAGTTGGCTTCTTTGGATCCTGCCTTTTTTTTTTTTAGATTTCATCTGAGATGCTATTACGCACAGAACAAAGTTATTGAAAATTTATTGTTCAATTTTGATTTTAGCATTGAGCCACTAAATTGATTGTGTCAAGGTTATTTGATGCTTCCACCTCCCTTCCCCTCTCCAAAGAACAAAGCAATAGTGTTGTCTTGATGTTCTTTAGCTGCATAGTTTGTATGAACCTTGTTATTACTTGTTAGGACTTTGGGAAATTTACTCGTCAGTCAATATGGAAATCTAAGTATTATTATTCCCTAAGGTGCCAGATATGTGGTGACATAGTGATATGGATAAGGGGAAATTGGGAGTCTGAACCTGATGTGTATGACAAATGCCAGAAAAGTAATTTGAAGTAAAAAATGCAGAACAGAAGAAGGGGGAAATAAAAAGAGAATACGATGCTAGACTTTTGCCAACTGCATATTCCGTTAGCTAGCCATAAAAGTCAATGGGCTATCATTTTAGTTAAAGTTGCATGTTGAAGATATTTTTGGATAAGATGTCGAGAGATAATGAGAATGCCGATAAATGTACATTTATTGCTCCCTTCCCGGGTAAATTAATATAAACTAATTTTAGAAGAAGGAAGTCCTTCACAGAAGCAATCTTAGCGATTTATCTACTGTTTATGGTAACTGCAGAAGGATAATATCCTACAATGGTCCTTTAGTTGCATTATTCTGATGCACTCATAGGATACTGCTACTTCTTTAGTCAAGTTTTGCCATGCTAATGTCTTTTCTTAACTTACACAAAAAGAACCCCACAAAGGATGACCTTGCTGATTTCTTAAGGGCCTGTTCATTTTCATTTTTTTGCAAACAAAAAACAAGGGTTTGCACTTTTTGGTTGTTGGTTTTCAAAATCTTGATGATTCCAATTAATTTGATTAATTATTAATTCTTTTTATGAAATATATCATATAGTTTTCAAAAACAAAAAACCAAGACATTGAAAACTACAGTGATACCGAACAAGCCCTTAAGTGATAGTAATCAAGTTTTGAACTTTGCTGTGCTTACAGAGTTATGTATACCTTTGAATGTTTCTTTATTTAGTTGATTATGAGTCACACTTATTAACTGCCCGTATTTGGTGAAATGACACCATAGCTTTAGAAGTAGGACTAACTAATATTGTTAGCAAGTTGTTTTAGTTTGGTTTAACAACTACACGATTAAATTTCTAAGTTCAAACGCCAAAGAGGTCTCTCTAAGTGGACCTTTTATGTTCCAAAATTGTATGTGTTTGCTATTAATCATGTTTTTGCTTCCCTCAGGCAAGACTTGTCCACCCTGATAAAAATCCCGGAGATCCACAAGCTGCCCGGAAGTTTCAGGTATGATATTTGATGGTGCCGAATATCCTCTCTGGCGTGCTGATAAGTCACTGGTTATACAGGAAATTACCAAATAAGTAAAATGGCAGATTGAAATATTGAATTATTTATCACGTTTTACTTTTTTTAAAAACTCTTGCTCCAAGTTCGAGGTTCTTCATCTTTACTTGATGTACTAGATTTTGTCTTTTACAAATGTTCTTTTGTGGAATTGTAGGAACTTGGTGAGGCTTATCAAGTACTAAGTGATCCTGAGAAACGTGAGGCATATGATAAGTATGGAAAGTCAGGTGTACCACAGTAAGTGTTGACAGTTCTAAGGAAGATGTCGAGCTGCTTTAAATTATGCTTTAGAAAACCGCTTACGACTGATTTATTTGCTTCTTAGTCTATCCAGTATGATAGATATCAAATCTTCAGCATTCTGATCCTCCTGGTCCTGATTATTGTTGTGTATTCAGTATCCTTAAGCTGATGTTATCCTCATTGGTATTTCACTATCATTGGCAGGGATGCCATGGTAGATCCAGCGGCAGTATTTGGGATGCTTTTTGGAAGTGACTTTTTCGAAGATTATATTGGCCAACTTGCGTTGGCATCTGTAGCATCTGTTGAGTTAGAAGAGGATCCCCAGATTCCTGCTGAACTCAGGCGGCAGAAAGTTCAGGAAAAGCTGAAGGTATTCCATTCTATTATTGTAACATGTCATTAATTGTTCTTGCGTTAAAGCATAGCTGATTTGGTCTGTGATTACTTCGCAGACAATGCAACAAGAAAGGCAAGAAAAACTCATAGTGACCCTAAAAGACCGTCTTCAACCATATGTAGATGGTCGCATTGATGAGTTTGTGGATTGGGCTAAATCAGAAGCATCTAATCTCTCAAAAGCTGGTAAACCTAATTTTACTTTCTACTATAATTATGTTATTCATGGTACTTGGTGAGTGGTGACTGTTGCATGTTCTTGAGTTCTGAGTACAACATCAGTTTATACAATGAAGAGTAGAAGACGTAGGAGAAATTTCAGATGTTTCTTTGAGTCATAAAAGATTCAAGCAACCAATTTGTTAACTTTTATACAAGTATGAAAAAAAATTACGGAGTATATATAAGGGTTTTTAATCATGTGCTTGAATAAATCAACAGGCTCTGGTGAGGCAGACTAGAGTTGAAATTTTTCATCTGATTTGTGTCGCTTTGAATATTACTAAGGCCCTGTCAAAAAAAAATAAAATAAAAAATATTACCAAGGCTGGGTCTGGTGAATATTGCAATAATGGAAGATATGGTCCTTAACACATAGTAGATGCGTTGTACGATTTGTGACTTTATGTTACTTCTTTTTCTCTCTTGTTTTCGGTTTTCATTATTTTGTTAATGCTGTCTACCCAGACTAGGGCTGCATCAAGGATCGGATATCTGAAATTTGCATTATCTGATATGTGTAATTTCAGATATCTTATATCTGAAGCACTATGTTATTCTCTTTACAGTAATAATTTGTCAACAACAATATGTATCATAAACAAAAAAATCATAACGTCTTAATATAGGGTTTTATGAAGATTCTAAACTTCTATAAAAAATGTTTAAATCCCAAAGTTTTTGACATTTCGATTGGATATCGATTATATGAGATCTGAGATTATCAGATCAGATTTTTGGATAGTTTTGCTCAACTCTTTGTTCTGCATTTGTGCATTGTCAGGATTTATACTAGGTGGTTGTTGATTGAGATATTGTATTATTTATATATATAGACAACAGCTTTCATTGTCCTCTTGGGGGTGGGGGGGTGTAGACTGTAGGAGATTTCCTTATTACCCTGGTAGCTATGTAAGCCTTTTAAGGCTGTGTGGCACTATGACAGTGAAACAAGCTAATGTGAAAGGATTATCGAATGGTAAAAAAACACAAGGATATCAGGAATTTGTTGGGTGAATGCAATAGAATATATTGAAAAGGGAATTGTTGCTGATGAGTGCTGCCAGTATGGTAAGAAGACTCGGGCCACATTCTGGTACTGAGAACAGATATGAACTCCATTTTCCCATGTATGGGTATATTTTCACTCACAAATATTGTACTCTCTCTGTTCCCTAAAGTTCTTTGCAGTAGCAACGCTTACTAGATATAAGAAGAGAGAGTGTGTAAAAGCGAGTTCCTTTTTGTTTTTCTTGGTAGAAAGGGAACTGACAATTACTGCATAAAGAATATAGCAAGAGTGAGAAAAACGTTGAGGAACAATTTGAACCGGAAAATAGAAAGAACTTTAAGGAACAAAGGGAGTACTGTGTTATATTTCCCTCCTTTCCCTATTTAAAGTTCCTGTTTCTCATAGGCATGCATATATAGGGTTTGAGTTGGGTCTAAACAATTAAAGGTTTTATTTCACTTTTTTTTTAACTACTTTTTTATTGCTAAAATTATCTCAATAATATGGATTGATAACTTAAAGTAGAGTCTGTTCTTGCTTGCTTAAAACTAATTGTGCTAATCTATTTATATATGTAGTTTTGTAATTCTCGATCTCTGTTTACAGTGTTTGGTGAGGCCATGCTACACACAATTGGTTATATATATACAAGACAAGCTGCCAAAGAAATCGGAAAGGATAAAAAGTTCTTCAAAGTACCCTATATAGCAGAATGGGTTCGGGACAAAGGACACCAGATAAAGTCACAGGTGATGGCAGCTTCAGGTAAGAGTGGTCTTAGATCTTGTAGGCAAGATCTATAGGGAGTTTGTGATCTTCTGAGTTCGAAGACTTTAACTCCCAAATTCCAATTATAACTTCACACTTTTGGTACGTAGGAGCTGTGTCATTAATTCAAATACAAGAAGATTTGAAGCGGCTGAGTCAAGGAGAAAACAAGGAAGAGAACATGATGAAAGCCATGGAAGAGAAGAACGATGCTATGCTTAATTCCCTTTGGCAGCTCAATGTTATTGATATAGAGACAACCTTGTCACGTGTCTGCCAAGCAGTGAGTATAATTATATTACTAATACCAAGGTTACGGGGTAGTTTTTGGTACATTCTGAGATGATAAATTCCATCTGTGAAAAGTATCCAGAGTGAAGCTTTCTATTTTTTAAAAAGGGGATAACCAAACATATGGCCTCATATGTTCATTTTGGTGCATATGTGATTTTTTGTGAAATTAAAACCAGTATTATGGGTCCTGTGAAAGCTTCATCATATATTCTTACCAGTTAAAATTTTTGGTTTAAAGTTCTGAAGCGAAGTTGTGTCTAATTTATATGGGTGTATTTATCTTTCTTTGATGCGTGGTAATTACACCAGTATGATATGCTCTTTCCGACATAAAAAAAAAGTTGCTTTTCCATTTTAGGCTGTCATAAGAGGTTGCCATTTTTCTTGCAATACTGTTAAAAATATATGCTTTCCCATAGCATTTAAATTTTTGCTGGTTGACATTACTTGAAATTTTGGTTTGAATTGGTACATGAAAGAAATTCAGACCAAAATTGGTGAAGTTGCTGCTTCGATGAAAACTGATTTGTATTAAAAATTTTGTTCATTGTAGGTTCTAAGGGATACTACTGTTTCAAAGGATGTTCTCAAGTCGCGTGCTAAGGCATTGAAGAAACTGGGAACAATTTTTCAAGTAAGTTTAGTGTGATCAATCTTGTCAACAATCTGGATCTATTTTCTGGTTATTTGTATTGTATATATGTGTTGTGTATGTTTTTGCGTGTTTACTGGTTAGGGGTTACCGGCTTAGGTTTCTTTCATCTAGATCTTCCCAACTTTTCTCCTGTGGGATCCATATTAGGCAGTGGTAGTTATTCTATCATGTTTTAGTTGTAATAATTATGCTAGTGTTAATCATTCATGGAGGGGTTACCTTGTTACTAAAGCATAAAAGCAAGATTGTCAAGATTACAAATTCCACTGAACAACCAGCCTTAAGTATCCAAGGTATATCCAAGCATTGGGAATCAAGATGTTGATAAAATCCTCATATAATTATTAGGAACAAGGTTTTCAAAATGGATTATGTAAGGTGAAAGCTATGTATGAGCTGTTTTCAGCATGTTTAAAAAGTTAGGTTGTAATTGTGGATGTTGACCATCACCATTATTCACCAATTGAAATCTGGCTCCGTTGTAGAGTAAAAATATGTAGGTTCCTATTTGAGTGACTGAGATTGCCTGAATAATCCAACCTTCATCTTCTCATTTGTCGTATGCTTGATCCAGGTATTTTGAAGAAATTCATACTATACAGAAATTAGGCAAACATTTTGAGATTAGAATGTGTAGTTTACTATTCCGTGTAGATACAAACACGAGCTCTTATGAGTTGGTGGTTATTGTGGGTTTCCAGAATTAGGTTCATGAACAAATTCCCAAAATCTTGCTTTGTTTCAGGGCGCTAAGGCTCCTTACAAGAGAGAGAACAGTCTCCGGAGTGAAGTGCCCCCCCAAGCGGACACATCAGGGTCAATTCAATCTTGAATTTTGAATCTCAATCGACACTTCCTCTTTGTTGTGTATGTATTTAGCATATTGATTATGTGCTTTTCATTTATTTGGCTCAACCTAGTCGCTGTACACAAACCACTAGACTTGATTCTTTGCTACTGTTGTATTGTAAATTATTTGCCTTCAATCTGGTGTTCATTATCACCTTAGAACTCTTGCATTAGTGGATGAAATGCTATGATGAGATGGTTTTGCTTAATAATGTGATTTGCTTGTTGCTAATTCCCGTGGTCGGAGTTGGTTTGGTTATCTTTATCGATGAACCGGTTTGTTCTCTTCTAAATTATTCTTACCCCCCTCCTCAAAACTTTTGCATATCAAATTAATTTTATTACTTTGAGACTTAATGCACCAAAGACCTTAGTTTAATTTACTAAATTATAATAATGATCATATTGGTGTCTTTTGAAACTATTTGCATATGGTTTTTCTTGTCATTCTTCAACCTTTTTACTCGACAAAATAAAGAAGCCTGAAGTCAACGTTGTAGTTGGTTAGAGTTAGCACTTGGCAGGGATCAGCTAAATCTGTTGCCTGAAGTCAAACTAGGCTTTTTGTCCACGATTTATTGTAATTATTATTATATTAGAGCCAAAACATTGGGATTAAAAAAAAAATAAATAAATAAAAATAAAATTGTGAATTGACACTTGTGCTAAATAAATGTGGAACGTTTCCTTTCCCTCAAATAAAAAAAAAAAGAAATGTTGAACGTTTTACATTTTGCTTGTTTTAAAATTTTTACCAATCAAATTAGTTTACGTCTACATTATTGATTAAATCACAGAGTCTTCATGTATTATAATTTATAAATATGATGATAAACTGTGACGATTTTATTTTTGATATCCCCAAAGATTGATAGTAATTATTTTTCTTTGCAGTGGAGAAAGAATGACTGGTGCTTTTAAACTCATTTTTAATACGAACGAATTTAGCCGTTGGGGTTCACTAACATCTGGTTTTACACATTATGTAACCTGTTTTTTGTTTTGCACCTTTTTGTGTAAATTCAAAAGTATATATTTTTTTTATTAATAATTGATTGATCTAATTAAGTACGTAGCCAACCTTGTTTAAGAAATGTCACATTATTTCAGTTACTCTAGAATTTACTACAGTAACATGCTAGATAAGACCCTGTTCTTTTGAGATTCTGGGCAGAGCAGGAGTCAGCAGAGCAGATTTTAGCACAGTAGATTGTAGCAGAGCAGAGTAGAACAGAGCAGATTTCAGCACAACAGAGCAGAGCAAATTACTACTACTATTATTATTATCACTATTATTATTATTGCATTAAAACTAATAATTATTATCTTTAAATATTAGTTATTATCTTTAAAATATTAATTTTTATTATAAAAAATCAATTATATTATTATTATTATTATTATTATTATTATTGTCATTATTATTATTATTACTATTTTTATTATTATTATTAAATATTAATTATTTATTATTATTAAATATTAATTATTATTATAATAATTCAATATTAATTATTATTTTTAAGCGGGACAGAGCAGAGCAGATTGAAGCAGAGCAGAGCAGGACTAGCATAGCAGAGCAGCTCTAAAGAACAGGGCCTAAGAATTGCAAGGAAAAAGAAATAGAATAACTTTACAACATATAATTAAGTTGACAAAATGTTTGAGACAAAATATTTTCTAACTTATGTAACTCATACGAAGGATATATCAATGGACATTTTCTAGCATTAGTTTCCTTTCTCTTCTATTCATAATAATTGACCAAAATAACAAAATTGTAAGTCATTTTTCAATTTGTTAGCAATACGCGTTCCATTTTTTGACATCCAACAGGTATCGAAGGGGTTTTCTTGGCCTTGCCCACGTACAACGGTATAAGACTGATAACTATTGGTCTTGCAGAAACTCGTCCCCAACATTTTTTTTTTTTTTTTTTTTTTTGTAACACCCCCTTATAATTCACTATAGCTCGTTAGTGATTTATATCAATCTTTTTCTGATGGTCAGTAATCAATTAAATTTCCATGCTATGATCAATTAAATTTCCATACTATGTTGCGAAAATGCAGGCATGCAGCCGCTACTTCGTGGTACGGCCATTGAAGGTGATTATAGACGTAAGCCATGATTACAAAAAGCACAATCAAAGTGTCAAATTCTAAGGATTAAAACAAGCAATTAAAAGTACTTTTGTGCTCCTTAATAAGATAATGCCTCTTTAGCCAACTTAAAAAAATAGTTAGGAAAATTATCTTCAATTTGATTGCTCAAGAAAGAGAACCCTAAATAATCAATAAAACTAGATTAAGATAGCTTTTAGTGGCTCACTCTTTATTCTCCACCAATGTCTTATCAAATGTGTGGTATTTGGTGGGTTCTTTTGTCGTTAAGTATTATTGGAAACACTAGTCATCTATTATTAATTACCTATTTATCTTAATCAAAGACAAAATCAAATATCTTAGTCTAGTAATTTGTTAGGTAGTAATCCTTTAGAAAAGGGCTCTCTCTATATAGAAAATGATAGTGATGGAAATTTACTGATATTTGTATCAATCCCCTTATAGCTATGCTTCTAAGGCGTAAATTTGTTTACTCTGTGGGCATGCTTTGATTGAAGGAGATGTATTACTAGGGTAATAAAAGTCAAACTAAGCAAAATGAAAGTGAAAATAGGGAAGGAGGAGATAGTGATGGTGTGATTGTAAGGAAAATTATGTAGTGATGGTGTGGTATGAGGTGAAGAAAGAGGAACTAATACCCTCATTTTGGGGGTAATAGTTACACTAGGGGGAGAGTGGGTAACTATTACCTTCATTATGAGGGTAATAATTCCTCCATCTCTCTCTTTTCCTCATTGCACAATTACTTTATTTCATTTGTAAACACTATGCCTCCTACAACACCACCTCTAATTACTTATATTTTTTCAAGTTTGACTTTTATTACCCCCTTAATATGTTACCCCCAATCCAAGCAAGGCCTGTATGTTATATTCTCTCGTCTAATGTTGGTTATCGAGTGTCACTAGTCACCTGTTATATTTAAATACTTTATTCTTTACTAATTTAGAACATAATTACATTCAATTTTGTACGCAATAATTTTATCGCTATAATCAAATGAGTTTATCGAATTAATTTTTTCTTGATATTTCAATATAGTATGTATATGACTAACTAGCTATTCAATAATAAAAAAAAAAAAAAAAAAAAATCTTTTTTATACACGGAGTATTTGCCAAAAGAGAGAGAGAGAGAGCGCTTTCTCCCTCACATTCCCACCAAAAATAACTAAAAATTAAAAAGATATACAAATTAAATCAAACTTCTTCTAATTGGTGTTTAATTTAGTATTTAAGAATTGAAAGTGTCTATTTCATGTAGGTTAGTTAAAGACTATCCAAGCCATCAAAATTAGGAAAGCATTCTAACACGAGTCAGCTCAAAGTCAAACCTCCAACTAGGATCTCCATTGCTAGTGGACCAGGAAGCCAAATAGGTAAAGATGCAAGTCTTGCAACTATGATTGGTTACAATTACAAATCCCACTATTAGTAACACTGACACATTATATTTAAGGAAAACTAACACAGCTAGCAAGCAATGTTACATTATCCTACATAATCCAATAATTATTGCATTCATCACATAATAATATCTTTGGAAGCTTTTTTGGTGCAATTAATGTTTTCATTATAGAAGAAAACTAATTACCAAAAGATAAATTTGAGACAAAGAAAATACATAATACTCTATGTAGTATAAGCAAATTATATACTAGTATGCATGTAGGTAACAATGTGATATTTACAATAAGACTAAAATAATGATTATTAATGAAATATCGATATCTTAATTCGCGTAAACATATTCGAAGTATTGAACTTCAAGTAGGGGTTTATGCATCTTTATATTTCATAGTAAAAAGGATGAGTTTTTAACTAGTTACAATTTTGCTTTTCCTTATATGGTTTAGGAAAAAGTGACAAAAACATGTTTGGGATTATGTACATATAGTTCTACAAAGTACATGCCACTATACAAAATCAACTATGTAATGAAAAATAATCCCACATTATTTCTACATGCATGCAATGCATTTAATTTATATTACTTGATAAAATAATTGATGATCACTTTGAGTGTGTTGGATCGCTTTAATTTATACAATATTAACTATCAAGTATTCCCTCGTCTCATATGTTAAGTATTACCTCGTCCCAGTTAACCACTGTTTATGAGAACTTTTTAATCAAATAAGATCAATTAGTAAAATAGAATGGATTAAAAAGTATATGTAATAAAATTTTCCAAAGTTGGTCACACAACATACCTACACATTTCCCTATTCATGATAAGAACTTGGAAGATGATAATCTTAGAACAGTATTATATAAAAAGTCAAAATGCAAAAGTAATGAATGACTAGTAAATCATTTGAACGAATTATATTAGGTACATAAAAAGTGGTACACAAATATTCTTCTCCTTGGCATAACAATATTGACAATCTTGAAAACCCTATTTAATCCACTAACTTCATAGACTTCTTGCCCCAACAAAAGGAAAGTGGTCTGCTATTCCCTTTAGGCTTTATTATTTTCAAAATTTTTAAACTAAAAGGCTAACAGATTATATTAAAATTAATTCTTTGCGTAATTATTAATATTAATTAATCATTCTGTTATCTTACTTTATCTAGCTAGAAATACCACTTCAAAGTAAAGTTTATGTCTTTTGCATCATACTAACAAGAAGCCACCATTTCTTGTACTTCCCTTGAATAAAAGAAAGACCAAATATTAGAGAATTATAGAGAGAGAGAGAGAAAGAGTTGCTTGAACATGGGTTTCTTGCCACTAAGAAAACTCAGCTTTCTTTTCCTCATCATTTCTGCTCTACTTATATCAACTTCATATGCAGGTAATTAATGTACCATGGCACGATTTCTTCGGGTTTGGGCCGAGTTTTTCAGCCTGGAATTGAGACCAGCCTAGCTGAAATGAGCAAGTTTTCTTTTTTTGGCACACGGCCGTGCACGTTGGCACGGCCGGCCATGATGATCATCAGTTATATGTTTATGTTGAAAACAAGCTAAGTGAACGGTTCATGTTCATGAATAATAGTTTAATTTAAGTTGCTTTTTAATTTGTAGGTCGTCAATCCAAGTTCTTGACTGAAAGCTCAGCTGAGGAATTTGTTGGAGCCTATGAGGTAAACTAGTCATTAGATTATTAAAAAATAACCTCTTTAATTAATTTACATTAATGTTGTGTCATGTCTAAAATGAAAATATTAGGAATAAATGACAAAATATATACTTGAAGAGAAGTGATCTTAGGTTGCATGCTCTCCCATGCATACAAAATACAGGCTAAGTTGACAAGTGTAATTCATTCTCATATATATATATATATATTTTTTTTTTTTACATGATTCATATATATATATGAGTCGAGGCAAATTTAATATAAGTTTTAGAGAAACAAAATTGTTTTTGTTACAATATCCTAATACATTCGTAATTAATTAAAGACCACAATTTGTTTGGGATTATCTTGAGTCAAATTAGTTAAAAATAATAAGCTCACTTTTTCTTTTGATTCATAACTATATATCACTCACTATTTAAACTTTTACGCTCCATCATCATACAGTCCATACTAATGTAGACTTTCTTTGGTATTCTTAGCTACAAACTATACAAGTTATAAAGCATCCCGAGAAAAGATTCAAAGTTTAACTTGCAAAATCTATAAAACGGCGTATTATATATGAGATGACTTAAAAATAGAAATATGACTTACGTACTAAACTAGAATACAATTAAATTGAATTAAGTCTGCCTTGGTTGAAGGCTAAGATTAGTTAAGTAAATACATCCATAATTGATGCTAAATTATTTGCTTGAATAAATATGCAGGAAATGCTATTAAAGGGAGATGATAATGAAGAGATCACCGTTATCCATGAAAGGATGTTAAGGCATATGAACACGCATGATTATGGAAGATACGATCCATCGCCATCATTTCGAAGGCCTCGTCACAAACTCATTCCTAATTAATTAATTAATTAATTAATTAATTAATAAGGGTTTTAATTAATTAATTAAGCAGGTCATCTAAGATATTCAGCATGCATGCTAATTATCTAAGTGGCTTAGAAGGATGTTTAATTTTGCTTTAATTAAATAAAACTATAAGCTAAGTTAGCCAGCTAGCTAAGGGACACTATATATGATCTCTACCTACAAATCTAAAACTATATGTTTGTGTATATACTATATAAGCTTTTTATTTCCCTATAGTATTATATCATATACTCCTATATGTTTTTGTGACATATATATAGTGAATTTTTTGTGTTACGCTAGTTTTTTTTTTTCTTCCTTAAAACATCTTATATTGGTTGTTCGAATCGTTGTTTAGAGTGCAGTCCAAACTGCGTATACAAACTGCACGGATAGTTTTCTAGCAATTCAGTGTGTTTTAAAATTTATGATGCAACCGATTTGTGATTTAGAAAAGTTATAAACAAAATTGAACCAGAAATGCATTTTAATGTGGTTCATGGCTCAAATTGCAAACCATATTACACCATTAATCGTTTCTGTTATTTATTATTTTGAAATTAAAACGCTTAAACTATAAATTTAGGGTTATCACATTATAAATTTATAATTGTCAGTTTGTCACCAAAGAAAAAGAAATGCAAAGGTTGATAACCAATAATTCACATGAATCCATGACATGCAATTAAATTGCATACTAATATTCTTCTACGTACTTGGTATAATATAATACTGTAGTTTGATTTCCCTATTAAAATTCTATCCATTAACTTCATTGACCCCTAAATGTTGATTAGAAGCATGGACACTCACTATAATTACGCTTTACGCTCAAGAAAAATATAATGGCACTTTTTAAATTTTAGTACAATAAATATAATTACATTCTATGAATATAATGTGACAAATTAACAAATGAATAGATATCCTTCATTTATCCTATTTATTCTCACCTTCTCTAATATCATGAACAACCTAAATTAATCTCTTATATATACATTTTTGTAATATCATACCATACCATTTCTTGTGCATCCCTTAAACAAAAAGGAGAAAACTTATAAAAAAGAGACCTCCACATGGATTTCTTGCCAACCAGAAAATTGAGCCTTCTTTTCCTCATCATTTCCGCATTACTTATATCAACTTCATATGCAGGTAATGTACCATTCTGATTTAATTTGTTCGGGTTTGGACAATTGGACCGGCTTTTTTCGTCACGAAAATGTGACCATCTGGGCCGAAATGGGCAGGAATTTTTTGGCCATGGCCATACATAACCGTACAGGCGCGACCATGATGAATTATTAGTTCTAAAATAACCTCATTTTGAGTAAACCTTGCACGTTCTTGACTAACAACGAACTTATAGTTGCCTTTTGATTTGTATGTAGGTCGTTATGCTGAGGATTTTGTTGGAGGCCTTGGAGCCTTTGAGGTAAACTAGTCAACATGAAACAATTGACGCATACAATTGTACCATTAAATCTAAGATATCAAAACAAATATCAACTTATATATCCAAATAATGATTTCCATTTTCTTCATCAGAAACAAAACATCTTTCATACATACGTCATATTACTTAATTAATTATAGACGTAGAGAGTATAAAAATTGTTTAAAACAAATTCAAGATTGTCTTATATTATCTTTAAACAATTATACAGTGATAAGTCATAGATTATTTTTCCTAAGTCGTATATCTGTTGTATGTTATTAATTATGTTTGTTTGGACGTGTAGGAAATACCATTGGCGGAAGACGAAAATGTAGAAGTAACCATAGTTCAAGAAAGGATGCTAAGTACCCAGGACTATGGAAAATTCGACGATCCATCAACGCCACCTATTCAAAAGCCTGGTCACAAACTCATTCCTAGAGCATCTAATGGGGATTCTAACCCATAACTATGTAGGCCATGCAACATACTAATAACCTTAGTGGCTTATAACTTTATAAGCAGGATGTTTTGCTTCCGTAAAATAAACTATTATTATATAAATGTTCTCTACCTACACATTTAAATACATGTATGTTACTATGATTATTTTTGAAATTTTCCTAATATACTTATATTTTTAACATACACTCATACTACTCCTGTCATCCTATGTGTTGTGACATGCAATGAAATTGTGTGTAACGCAACTTGCTTTTCTTCAATCAATCAAAACCTTAATCCCATAATTGGGGATATCTTATTATTGGATGGTCTAATAATTTGAAGGGTAATGTTATATACAATCTTTAAGGATGCAATTTGGCAATATTCATATATATACTTGACTTGAAGCCACGGTCATTTATATTTAAGAAAAAATAGTCATATGTAGTCTAATTAAAATTGTCTCGATCTATAGTTTTCAGGTATCACTTTTGTATAATTTATGCTCAGTGAAGTTTAAAAATGATATAATTAAGTTAAATTTTTAAAGTTATATACGTACCTAGCCAAAATGAAACACTTAAAAAAAAAATAAAAATAAAAACAATAACTCCATTCAATTACCAAAAGCTTAGCAAAAATAATTAGATGGACTGATGGACAGCTAGGAAATTGGGGAAATTGCCAAAAGGCCATTAGATCGAGGATAGTTGCCTAGTTGGGCTAGTTCGTAACCTTAGCCCAAAAATTGCTTCAGATATCCCTTGTGAATAGAGCTAGTGTTCTGATTTTCGTTTTTTTTTTTTAACCTTGATAAAAAAATAAAAATAGTGTTAGCTATGTTTATCTCTTTATCTGATCTTAATAATTATCTTTACTACGTATAGAGTACAAAGTAGTATTTAAACCATTAAAATGCATGATGTGAGGAATGAGGAGATGGAGGGATGGTTAGTCCCTCCATCTCCCCCCATATGATGGGGGTTCAATTCTTCATAGCCCCCCTTTTCTATGATAAGAGGGGGGGCCACCCCCGTAATTTACCATTAAAAAAAAGGGATGATGTGTCAACTAAAACCCCAATAAGGAAAAATGCTTATTATATACTCACTACCTTTGCCAGTGATTCATTCAGGCTCATAGAGGTCTGATCTAACTCGTCGTAATTCTTTATTCAGTGCTATTACAATATTACATGCATGCTTTGTATTATTATAAATAATGTGTTGCTTTTACGGAGTATCAATATTTTTAACTAGATGTTAAAAGTTCAAATCTTTATCTTCTTTACTTTTGGTCCAATATCTACCAAGAACCCATTTGGCCTGATTTGCCTCTGTTGAGTCTTTGACGAGCCACTTTATGGTAATCAAAATTCAACAAGAAAAGAAAGTCCACTAATATTATGGCAAATTTTCGAACAACTTTAATCCTTGTCAAACTAAAGTTCTAGAAATTGATCGAACTCTTCGAGTCCTATTTCATAAATTTAACATATAGTTTTTTTACAAAACTGCGTTGTCTATATGTATTACGTAGTTATGTATATAGTTGGATATGGTGATTAGTAGTTAATCTGAAATTGATTGGTGTGACAAAATCCAAAAAAGAACAAATATATAAGTGGATAAAATTCGTGTGATCACTTGATACGCTACATTAGATTAATGACCTAAAGCAAACGCACCCCATTATAAGAGGTCCACGTGTACAAATTTCCTATATTACCCTTTAATTTGCTATAAAACCATTAAATAAGTTAAAGGGTAAAATCGTCATTAAATATAGTTTAAGGCAACTACTTGTCAACTTCCTTTGACTTCAAATGTTAACAAAGCATACATAAATGATAAATGAAGTTGAACTAACGGTAGCATCAACCAAATTGTATTTTTATCATTTTATGTAGAAATTTTGATTACATGGTCACTTCAATACTTGTCATTTGTCTTTTTAATCAAATTACGTGCACAAATTGTCCTTTTTATTGTTTGATGCCACTACATAAGAGTGAACCTCAATCCACGTAATAGAAAACTTGGTTGTATACTACTATAACTTTATTATAAATCATGTATGTGAAGTTGAAAACTTATAAAAACTTATATATGGTTCATGAAAGTTCGGGGATAAAGATGAATATTATTGTGATTGTAGATCAATCAAGTGTAAACATTTAGATAATTTAGTTTTTTCTGTTAAATTTCGATCTTTGAGTTATAAGTTGTTTAAGTAAATTTTGGTATCATATTTTTGCTTTTAGCTAGAATTAGTTTGGCTTTTGATTAATATGCACCTAAATCTAATGCAAAAACGCCATGAACGATATCCCATTGTTTCTAAGCCCATCTTTAATAGCAAATTAGACAGTGCAAGCAGGTGTAGTGCATGGTGGTGTAACAATTGACCTTTAATAATTAATATCTATAAACACTTGATTACTTGATCCTATATACTAGTGTATAGTCAATCAAATATTCTAATGATTTAGACACCTTTCATAACTTAACCAATGTTTGCCAAAAAAATAAAAATAGTGTCCATTACGAATTTACAATGTCAACCACAAAGGCACAAAGCTCAATTATTGAGAAATGATATATACATGTATGTAATTAATAGTTTCGAAACAGAAATGAAAGTTCTAATTCTTCAGATTTCATGAAAAAATAATCATAGCTATTTCTACTATTAAATATTAACGGATCCTTAATTTGCCGTAAGTTGGCATATGTGTCTCAACAATTAAGGTATTACCCTCTACAAACTAGTTTAATCACATTGATTAGTAATATTTCCTTTTCATCAATCTAGTATATTCTAAATTTTTATTTTTAATTTTATTTATTTATTTATTTATTTTTATATTAAGCTGATCGGTGAGCTGTACTAGCGTTAACATCACATTTAATATAAGTTATATTTTTTTTTTTTTGAAAGAATATAAGTTATAATTTGAATTAAGTTTGATTTCTCTATTATAACAAATAAATTAAATTCACTAAATTAATTATCAAACAACACATATTACTTTCTTGAAAGGTGATTAAAAGCATGGAATGCGTTCCATGCACTCCGCGTACCATGCAAGAAAGAAGTTAAGTTGCTTTTTCACTAGCCTTTCAAAAATTCCACAACCCATCCTCAACAGTACAATTCAAGATTTACAGATTTTTATTTATTTATTTATTAAATTTTTTTTAGATAAGATACTCATATAACAACATACTCATTTCGTTTGGGATCAATCGCAATCAGCTTGACACATATATTAAGGAAAATTGTAGAGTGAGAGCCAACAAGGATATTTAATAATATAAAACAAGTATAACTAGTGATGATATATTTAATTAGTAGTTTGAGAGATATAAAGTATAAACACTAAAAAAATAAAATAATGCAAGTTAGT